CTCTTTCTCAGAAATAATGTTCATATTCATCTCTTTTATCTCTTGGATCTTATACTTCTGTGGACTGCAGAGCCAACAGCTATAGCAAAACAACATACCTTTGAATTTTACTGACTCTCACAAAGATGTCATATATTTTGTGTGTTTTTTCTTCCTCATCCCTCTGCTAAATACCGTTCATTATTGCTACTGCTTTTTTCCTCTATTTGGCTTTTTAAAAATGGACTGGGATTATTAAAATTTGTATCTTAAAACACAAAAAGAAGAGACTCTTTAAGTTCCCTGACCATCTATAACCTATATTAAGGTGATGCGCAAATACTTCTCAATCTAGATCAGTGCTGCATTTAGATTACAGTGTTTGCTTTTTGGGTGTACAAAACTGTTGATCGTAGAAAGGCTATTACTTCATTGTTATTTTTTTCTTTTGGTGATGCAATTCCAAGGGAAGAAAAACCTTGACCTGGCTCTGCAGGCTTCAGCCAGGCTTTCCTACAGTGATGACTGTTTAATTCCCCTTGGTGCTCTGGAGATGCATGTTGTAAAGAGGCCATGGAACAGCAGTGTCTGGAAATGAATGTTGCTCCTTGGCTGCTGCTCGCACCGCACAGTTTTGTTTTTACGATCGTGTGCCTGTAACATACAACGTATGGGCAGGGCGGGCAGACTTTCCTCTTCCCTCGTACAGAGATAAGTGGAGTCAGTGTGCTGGAAGGTGCATTGCACAGGGATGTGCTCGTGCAGTGGAAATACGAAACTAGTTTTGATACATGAAGGTCCGGCACATCCCTCAGGATGCTGATTCTTCCAGATCTGTGTTTGCATTGCCAAACACTATTAAAAATAAATAATATCACAGGACAGCATGCTGTTCCTGGGCAAGAACATCAGGAACAGTGTACTCAAGATTCCTTTGTCTCTCATTACTTAACAGATACAGAAGGGCAAGTAAATTTTTTTACTCCCATCACAAAACTTACTAAATATACTTTGTTGTTAAGTCCTGCATTACTAATTTCTCTTTGACTTTTCCTTGGGTTTTGTGTTATTCAGTATATTTTCACTTGCACAGCCTTTTACATGTGCTAAGTAATTATCCTTTTTATTTTGCAGTTGTGCATTTAAATGCTGTAATTCCCATTTTACAAATGCAGAAACTAAAGCCAAGTTTGGGGAAATTGGCTTTGTTTAAACTAGAGGGAATTCACCTCCGATCTGGGCTTTGAACATAGAGTTATGATTTCAGTCTTGTACTTAGTTCCCTAATTACAAAACCATGTCCTAATAAGTGTTTTCTCAAGGACCATGTAAGTGGAGTGGTCTGTTTAGTTGCAGGTAGCTGTCTGGGAAGCAGGTTTCCAGCAGAGCCATGCTATTCACCAGAGATGAAAAACATCGTTTGGGCTAATTTTACAGGCCAAGCAATATATGAACTGTAAAAAATTAGCTTGAGTTGAGTGTAGTGGAAAGGATGAATAATGAATTTCATTCCAGTGAAGTGGCCTAGAAACATATTTCGGTCCTTGTGGCCTCAATTATTTCACAGAGGCCGGTAGAGCGGAGTTCATGGGCCTCAAAGGTTGACACTGAAGTCTGATCAGTAAATGTGGAAGGCAAGCGGAGTAACCGTGCGTGGTTGACATACATCTGAAGAAAACAGAGTGGGAATTAAAGACGATGTATGGGTTTGTGTGGAAAGGTCTGGTAGTGGAGGGCTGCAGGGGTGGCTTCTGCGAGAAGACAGCAGGAGCTGCCCCCGCATCAGACACAGCCAGTTCCAGCAGGCTCTGAGACGGACCTGCTGCTGGCTAAACCTGAGCCCATCAGCAATGTTCATGGCTCCTCTGCGAGAACATATTTTAGGAGGGGTAGAAAGTGCTGCACAGCAGCTGTGAGAGAAGAGTGAGAAAATGAGAGAAACAGCCCTGCAAACACCAAGGTCAGTGTGGGAGGAGGAGGAGGGAAGTGCTCCTGGCACCGGAGCAGAGATTCCCCTGCAGCCCGTGGGGAAGACCATGGTGATACAGGTTGCCCTCCTGCAACCCATGGAGAACCACGTCGGAGTAGATATCCATCCACACTGCAGCCCATGGAGGACCCCATGCTGGAGCACGTGGATGCAGCCCCTGGAGAGCCCACGCTGGAGCAGGCTCCTGGCAGGACTTGTGGCAAGACTTGTGGGGACCCACGCTGGAGCAGCGTGCTCCTGAGGGACTACATCCTGTGGAAAGGAGCCATGCTGGAGCAGTTTGTGAAGGGTCTCCAATGGGGGAAACCCCATGCTGGAGGAGAGGAAGAGTGTGAGGAGGAAAGATCATTAGAGGCAACACGTAATAAACTGACCATAGTTTCCATTCCCCATCCCTCTACATCACTCGGGGAAGGAGGTAGAAGAGTCAGGGGTGAAGTTGAGCCTGCAAGGAAGGGAGGGGTGGG